CCGATGGATGTGGTCCGGCTTTGACAGCGAAACCTCTCTAGAGTTACTATCTTCTTCTGATAGCAAACAGCTTGCTTTGGTTTGCTCCAAAACGAAGAATAGCTTTGGGTTGATTGGATGGGATGATGGACGGAGATGAAACGTTGTCGCGTCAGAACTGAGGTCTCTGAGCAGAAGGCCAGAGGCTAATAATTTCTCACAAATGTATCTGTGATCTGGATTCGTATTCTCACAAAGGGATGCAATGTAATCTATACTGACTTCATCGTGAGTGGAGTTCAGTCTTCCAAGTTTTTGGACCAAATGCTCGGTCTTCAGTAGTCCCTTTGCTTGCAGTTGTTCAAGTATCTGTTGAAGAGGTCCGAGATCCCGTCGAGGTTGTTTGAGCTCTACATCTTTCAATCTTTTCTCGATCTCGGTATGAATCGAAGTGGAAGAATTCGGAGTCTTGGACAGAAATTTTACATGTTTAGGAGTTGGTCTCTGAGAACCTCGAGTGGCATCCGCATGTCTCCATGGTGCTGGCTCAATAAGGAATCTTGAACTGGAAATAGGCTTCATTATCATACCTGCATTTTTCCACAGCGGTGAGGTAGGATCTTTTAACGAGCCTCTCGCGCTGTAAGAATTTGGGGTTGGTCTGTTCGGATCGACGTTTGATCGAAGAGGCTGCAACAAAGGATTGTTATCCTCATCATCAGGCGAGTAAGAATACGGCATCGGTTCCAAGCCCATCAGCTTGGCTACGGCATTCAAAGGGCGCGGCCTAGACATTTAATTCCACGAGCCATTTGCTTCATACGACGATCTTTGTCTATGCTTCACGGAACTGTCCGATTGTTCTCTAGCTTCTGGGTACATCGGCGAGCCCTTGACCATATCTCGAAGGTCTATTATAAAGTCTTGTGTCGAGGTTCCACAGGTTGAAAGACAGACACTGGTTGAGCGAGAGTGAGGTTGAAGATCAGAGTTACACCGAGAATGTCTCTGCAACAGAGTTTGGCTTCGAGAAAACGGCTGGATGTCGGGTTCATTGTCGGAATCCCATTGAACCCCACGTTGGTTCGATTTTCTTATCATCATTTTCTGGAGGCCTTTGTGGTATTTTTCATGGCTTGGCTGCTTTAAGAACCCATGAGCCATCCATTTCCTAAAGTCAACCGGAAGTGCTGAGATCCTACGGAGATGCTTCCTTCTCTTTTCCACAATTTTTTTTTTTTTTACAACTCTGCTTGCATTTTCTATTATAATAAGGATTAATATAAAAAAATCTTTAAAAATTAGTCGACCAATTAGTATTTAGCACGTGATATTTTTTTATTTTTTTAAAAAATTAAAATTAAAAAAATTTGTTTAAAAAATTCTAACAACAACAAACCCTATTCTTATATATAATAGGGTAAGGGGAAGGTAGGGTAGTAGGCTGCCCTAACGTCAAGGTTGAGAGCAACTTCCGTGAAAGACCTCCGGCAGTCAGAAAATTAAAAATAAAGATAAAATGCATGTATAAATAAATAATAAATACATAGTTGAACAGTATTTATATGCAGTCTTCATATGCACGTCTGTAATGGGAAGTAATCCCTGCAAATGAATCCCTGTGTAAAAATCTCTGTATATAGACATAAATATAAGACCCGACAAAATTTAAAAAGAAGAAACATGACGAGAAGGATACTCAAAAGTCAACGATAGCAAGCAACGAGAAGGAATAAAATTAAATGAGTTAAAACCTAAAATAATGCAACACTACTCCACTACCCTAGTTTTAAACTTTCATAAATTTCAATGACAGAGACGTAAAAAAGTAGAAATCATGAAAATTATTACAAATGCATTAAAAGAAGACAAAGATGATACATCCTATGGATGTGATCTGCACTATTCGGCTACCCTAATCATTAGTCTCTATATTTTCCTATCAGAGATTATGTCTTCGGTAAAAATTAAATCATTCGAATCAGATCTTTCATAAAATATCTCATGACTTCTAATTCTGACATCGACCAGTACCACTATCACAGTCTGCACAGGCTCAACTGCTAGCCACTAGCCCGCCGACCAATTGTTGGTCACTCATCCACTGATTAAGATGGATATGTGTTCAAATTTTGTGATTTATGTTTCAGATTTAGGGATTTGGATTTAAAGATGTTGGGAGCTTGAAACTACAATTGATGGCCAAAGATCAATGAGTAGACGACTGGTGAGGGAGACAACAGGGATGGAAGATCAACCCACAGAGTGGATGCTTTGGGATTTTTTTTTGAGATTTTAAAAATACTTTAAGGGTTTTTTAAAAATATAATAATTTTAAGTTTTTCTAAATAAAAAATTTATAAACATGTCACATGTCATATTTTAAGTAGTTAACAGATTTTTTAACATATATTATAATTTATGCACCTAAATGATAATATTTGTAATATTAGACACATAGATTGAAGTAATTTAAATACATATATGAGAAATAGAATATGATTTAACTATTTATTTTTGCACGAACCAATTTACTTCAGTGGTTAAAGGAATCGTTGTTGTTACTAGAGGTCACAGGTTCGAGTATCAATGGTTGCAACAGGATGATTAAGCATTTATTGTCAAATGATTAAGAATATTTAAAACATATACTATTTACAATTATCTTAGCTTAATAAAAAATACTTATTTTTATATTAAGTGTAATAATAATAATAATAATAATAATAATATAAAAGTTTAGTAAATGACATGGTAAGATACCTTTTTGCCCTCCTCAATGTGGTCTCATAAACTATAATTCTTTTAGGATCGACAGAGTCTACACTGCATGTCATTGAATTACAAGGTTCATTTTGTATACTAAACTTTTTAGTTAGGTTTAATATTAAAATAAGAGTCCAAATTATATTTAAATTTTTGAATATGTGTCAAACTATTTTTGACTCATCTAGATGTCTAATATTACAAACGTTACCTATTTAGATACTCTGACCGTCAACGACATTAATTTTCATATTAAGTGCACGTGTTACAGTTTGGTGCTTTTAAAAATTTATTTAAAATTAAAAAATAAAATTATATATATATTTTTAAGAAAAACAAAATATTTTTGAAATAACCTAAAATTTTTGAAAACCTTCATTTCAGCCCCTAAACTCACATCGGCCATCACCCTTTGCCGTCGATGAAGCTCCACCCGACCTCATCTTCCCCCGGCGACCAAAACTCCCATGAAATTGTGATCTATCGAAGGCAAATCGACATTTTATACCCCGCGAACCCTAGGATGAAAATCGTGATCCCACACGATCTCGATGACAATTATGACGACGTATTACTACGGCGGCGGCGGTGGTCGTGGCCGAAAAGGGAGTGGCGGCAGGTTAAGGATAAGATTTGAGGATTTTAAGTATTTGGGGATTTTTATAATTTAAGAGAAACTAAGGTTTTTTATAAATGTAATCATATTTTTTTAAAATAAATTTCAAAATCATCAGTGTAACACGTGTCACTTAAAGGGAAAATTAACGTCGTTGATGGCCCGAGTATCTAAATGGGAACGTTGTGTATCTAGATGGGTCAAAAAATAATTTAGACACCTATTCGAAAATTTAAGTATAGTTTAGGCACTTATTTTGGTATTAAGCCTTTTAGTTATTATTATTAATTAATTGTTGTTCTTCACTTATATTCTCAATAATTCTAGTACTAAAATATTCACATTCTCTCATTTTTTTTAGTTGGATCGATATTTTTTATAGTTATTGATATTCAGTCTATTAATAAATTAATCTAGATCAAATAACGTAAAAGTTTAATAAGGATAATCTTTTCAACTCGGGTTGCTCCACTCACAAATATTATGATTCAAATATCTTAATTTTGTTTAAGAGATTTAGTGTCTAATCTCACTGGACCAATTAATTATTGATTGGATTGATATTTAATAAAATTTATTAAAAAACGATTCAAATGATATTTAATTTTTTATTTTTTTCGTTAGAGCTACTACTTTGCATACTATTGGAACTTGCCAAGGACTCAAAGGATATTTCTACTAATTCATTATTCGGTTTTTCGTATATTCAAGTTGTAAAAATTTAATTTTGGAAAACTAAATTACTTATCCAATTTTATTAAAAAATAATTTAATTGATTTGATTTTTTTAAAATAAAATATTTCTTTTGAGTTGACTTGAATTTTGTCCACCCAAAATAACACGTTCCTCTTACAAATTTAACTTTACTTTATATATATATAAATAAATAAAATAAATGCATAGGATTTTATCTAAAAAAAATTAAAAGTTGACAAAGCTTGTGTGATCATTAATATTTGGTGTAGAAAATTAAAATAAGATTTGTTTTATCAAAAATATGTTTGAGAAATATTGATAGACTGTCGAGAGATAATCAAATTTTTCTGATAAAAATATTTAAAATTTTAATTTTTTATATAAAAAATTATTAAATTTTAAATTTATCATTTTATAACTTCTATTTTTTTTTAATTTTTAATTTTATATTATTTATTTTTTATAATATTTTTATAATAATTTTGTAAATATGTTAATATTTTTAAAGTATAAACTACACTAGTAATCACTAAATTTTTAATTTGTTTTCAATTTGTTTTCATTGTCATTATTATCTTGAAAATGTAGACGGACATGTTGAAGTCTTCTTCCACAAATAAAACCCTAATTTTTAGATTAGAACGATCATCGATCAATCTCAGTAGTTGGATTACTCTGTTTGATCAAAAAATTAACATAATTTGGTTTCAAGTTAATCCAACTGTTATAACAACATATAAATAAATTAAATGTTATCTGACCATTACCTCCTTTTATCATTGTTTTTGCCGTCATTTGGTGATTTCTTTGACTACCAAACTACTCATCATCATCATCTTCTTCTTCTTCTTTGGTGTTTTTCCGGAATAAAACTTGCTTAAAACATGAATTTATATAAAATATTTCATGTACTTGTTCTTACATACATACATACATATATATATATAAGTATGGTGTCATAGTCTGAGAAATGTTACAAGGGACTGCAGTTCTTAATGTTATCCATGAATTATTAAGCTTTCATGCAAACAAGAAAAAAGAATTAAATCAGAACAGAGGAAGAAATAACAAGACCTTTTTTTTTATGCAAACGGCTTACTTGGAGAACAGCTGACGCCTCCTACGTTGTTGATCGGATCGTGAAACACCCCCTTCGCCGATCACGGTCTCGTTGACTAAATCCTTAAACACCATCCGTTCGACGTCGAGAACCATCCCGGAAATCTCCCCGTTGAAATCCGTCCAGCTCTCGGACTGGCACATTACATCTTCCCACAATATGTTTTTCAGACCATCCTCCTCTACCTCCGTGTTGCTGTTTGATCTCTTGGCTTGAAACTGTTCTATCTCCGTACAGAGTTCCTTAAGAAGCTTTTGTGCATTGAGGGTCTTCCTCGCCAGCTTTCCGGAGTTTATCCAAGGCTCTGCAGAGGCTCCCACTAGAGCCAACTTTCCGACAAGAATCTCATTAACCAAATCGAATATAAGCTTCCGATGGAATTTCTCGTGGTCTGGCTTTGAAAGCGAAACCTTTCCGGAGTTACTATCTTCTTTTGAAAGCAAAGAGCTTGCTTTGGTTTGCTCCAAAACGAAGAATAACTCCGGGTTGATCGGGTGGCCTGATGGATGGAGCTGAAACGTTGTCGAGCCAGAACCAAGGTCTCTCAGTAGAAGGCCAGAGGCTAATAATATCTCAGAAATGTATCTGTGATCTGGATTCGTATTATCACAAAGGGATGCAATGTAATCCGTACTGGCTTCATCATGAGTGGAGTTCAGTCTTCTAAGTTTTTGGACCAAATGCTCGATCTTCTGTAGTTTCACGCGATTAATATCCGAGACAAGACCAGACCCCGCATTGTTCGACAAGCGGTTATCTGCAGAGTTCCATTGCTCATCTCTGTGGCTGTCATCGAAATTCTCAGAACCAATACCTGGTACAATGAATATTCGAGTGAGATTCAATTCATAGATCCCAAATACTGGAAAAATATGCATGCTACTGAAGAGCATCTTCTTTCTCATTCGATTTGCTCATTTGGTTTTTACACTGTGATTAGTTTCTCTCTTTAGGTATCATGCAGTCCGGAAGGTTTACCGGAATAAGCAAATATGTATTACCTTCTGGAATGTTCAGTATCTGCTTTACTGGTGATGGAGCGTCATCTCTGTAAACCGAGGTGTCAAGAACAGAAACCGGGCTCGGATGCTCCGGAGCAGTCATAGCAAGTTCAGCCACTGATCCATCGTCAAAAAGTCTTGATGTTGATTCCTGAAAAAGAACAAGACGTGACGTGTAAGGTAGGGTAACCAAGAAAAACAATTCGATCAATGGCAAAGACTAGAGATTAACATGGCCTACTTTCTGCATTATGCTAGAAGCCGAGTGTTTGGCAGCATTCATGGATGGAATTTGACTACTATTGGTCTTGAATCGGTCATGACTGGTGACTTCCATATCTAACTTGGACTCCATGGTAATATTGTTGTCTGATTGCAGAGAGATCTCATCTCCTTGGTGACTCGAAGTCCATGATTCGGAACTAACCTGACTCAGCTGGTCGTCACATTGCTGCAATTTGTGAGATTTTGGTCTACGTTTACCTCCTGGGGAGCTTGATTCCGACGAATTCCGGTTGGACTGCCTTCGGGGTTTGCTTGGATCAGATGGTGGAGTTGGCGGACGAGATTGCCTGTCCAACTCGAGCTTCTTTTGCTGCAGTCGTGGGCTTCTGGATCCTCCTGAACTCTTTATTAAAGCTGTCGTGCTTTCTTTTGGAGATTTCGTTGAAGACTGTATGGATCCAACATTCCTACTATTAGCTCTCTTATCAGAAGAGCTGACAGTGGAAGTGCTTTGACTGTTTCGGGCAGTATGATGTCTAGCTGATCGACTAGTTATTGAACCTCGTTTATTATCTACAGATATGCCACTACGAATCTTGGGGATACTGGAAATGTCATCAATAGGAATTACGGTTGAAGCACGCATACTGCCTTTCTCGACAAGTTTTGCAGGTTTCATGATCACAATAGGAGATCCATACGTTCTAATAGAATCCGAACCCCTAGTAGAGGAAGTGTTGTCGCGAGTGTTCTGCAGGCTTCGTTGACCTCTCAGATTCAGGCCAGGCCTTGTGCATTTCGGTTCACAGTCTCTTTGAGACACCAAGTTTGCAGTTTGTTCTTCTTTCTCGGTCTCGAGGAACTCCTTTGCTTGCATTGCTTCAAGTATCTGTTTAAGAGCTCTGAGATCCTTTCCAGATTGTTTGAACTCTAGATCTTTCAGTCTTTTCTCGATCTCACTATAAACCGAAGGGGAAGAATTCAGAGTCTGGGACGGAAGTTTTACATGTTTAAGAGGTTGTCCCTGAGAACCTTGAGTTCCATCCGCATGTTTCCATGGTGCTGGCTCAATAGGGAACCTTGAACTGGAAATAGGCTTCATGGGCATAACGGGATTTTTCCACCTAGGTGAAGTAGGATCTTTCATCGAGCTTCTCGCCCTGTTAGAAGTTTGGCTTGGCCTGCTTGGATCATTTGATCTAAGAGGCTGAAAGAAAGGATTGTTATCCTCAACACTACCGGTTTTCACCACACTTATATGTGCATCACCAGCGGAGGAAGAATCCGGCAATGGTCCCAAGCCCATCAGCTTGGCTACGATATTCGAAGGGCGTGTCTGGGTTCCTGGAGATTTTAGTGGATTGGTAACTCTTGTGTTCGAGTGATCAATATTATGGAAACTTTTAGCAAGGTACATCGAACCCTTCATCGACCTTTCTCTACTATCCAAAGAAAGTCTCGGCTGCTCTTTAAGCTTCGGTGTACATTTGAAATTGTCCCATGATTCAAAAGATAAACTATTAGTCTCCCTCCCATCGTAAGAAAATCGAGGTGCGTCCCTAGAGATTGAATTCCACGAGCCTTTTCCCTCACATGATGATCTTTGAAGTTGTCTAGCTTCATTGTTATAGTACCAAGGTGCTTCCTGAAGTTTTGCAAAAACTCGAAGAGATTCCTTCAGATCAGCAGACAAATTTTGCTTTCCGTTGATCCCGACCCCATAAGATCCGTTCATCGAATTCCGAAGGGGAAATGGCCTCGGTGAATCTCTATGCTTCACGGAACTGCCCAATACTTCCTCTTTGGTCATCGTTTTAACCGATAGCCCTTTAGCTTCTCGGTACATCGAGTCCTTGACCACATCTTGAAGGTCAACAAATTGTGAGCCTAAACGTGGAGAAGTACTCGGTTGGTTCATCACGGTATCCCTAGACGGAGTTTCGGGAAAAAGGATTCTATCAAAGGAAGAGGCCTCTTGGTGAGCTATCTTGTTACAATCCAGTGATGACATGGAAGACGAACATGACGACGAAAACGATGCTCTCGAAGACTCCGTGGAGGGTCTTTGTTTCTCATACACAGTTCTGTGCGTATTTGTTTCCTGGAAATCAAAAGATCGTAAGGACAGATTTCAAGAACAACTAGGAAATGAACCACAAAACACAGAGAGAATTGACAGGAACTTACAATTGCAGTGTGCCTTTGGCATGCATTATTCAAATCACCTTCTAGGAATCCATTGTTAAACCGGGAATGCCCTGTAAACGAGCGGAACGATCAGATTGTACTTTTTAGACTGCACACACATTCTTGTTTGGAGTAAGTTCACAAAACACCAGGGAAAACGAAGATATCAGAAACTAAGGAAATACGGGGTACGATAATCTACATCTACATATAACTCTTACAATAAGAGTTTCAGACAGCAACATAATTTTCAACAGTTGGAATTGAATTCCACCTACATTCATCAATGTACAGAAAGATGGCAGTTGAAATCAATACAATCTGTTGGAGAATCGCCTAATCGGCCCCTCGGTATATCGTAATACATAAATATAAATCAATCGAAACATATTATCGCATTCAAACCAGAGAACCAAACATTAAATTTAGACAGAAAACATCAAAACACAGATGACAATTGCATTCATTCCAAAGAGAACTACCTGCAGCAGGAAGCTTCCGATTGCTCAGGCGCTTGGCGGTAACCATTTGATGCCGATCGAAGATCTGGAACACACCGGTCATGCAGCCGATTTGCTTCTGCAAATCGGGGTTTTCATCTGCCAACGAATGCAGCAACTTCGCAGACATATCCAAACTTGACTAATAGAACCTCAAAAACTCCTAAAGATTCATCAGCCTTTTCACAAACACCTGAATTCCAATCATCATTTCACCTTCAAGACAATCCAAATTTCAACACACATATTATAATTCTATCTCCAGATTTCAGGACCATAAAGCCTGTGGCTTCCTACAGCATCAAGTTTGTCCTTTTGGCATGAAAATCCCCCAATGCTCAAACTAAATTTTCTCAGCAACCAAACAAAACTGCAAGAAAGAAAAACAAGGTAAAACTTACTAAGAAACACATACATGTATGTATGTATGTATGTATATATTTAATACCTTACTGAAACTTCACAAGCAAACCAGACAATGGATAGAGCAGTATCAGATAATACAACCAAAAACGAAGGAAGAAAGGAAGGGACCCAAATACCCCATTTCACAAATACACACAAAATCAACAGTTTTGTAAAGCAATACTACAGTTAATCCATTAACTTACAAGAAACTAGAACAGAACAGAAAACCAAATTGTACAAAGGAATATCTTCAGATCCAAGAAGGATTTCAAAAGAAAAAATAAATAATCCCTGAGACAAACCCAGAATTGATTGGAAGGTTTGTTATATTGCCCACCATGTCAAACACCCATCTGCTCAATCATACCCAATTAATATATGCAATATATATTTGTGTGAGACATGGGAATATTCACACAAAATTAATCTAAATACTCAAGTATGGTGTATCTATGTGTAATTACATTATAAAAACTCAAATTTATTTTTTTATTAGTCTAGAGTAATTATAAGATAATATTTTTTTTAAATAATTTTATAATTAAATAATGAACACTCAAATATTTTCACAGTCATTCTAATCAAACTTAAAACTTTTAAAATAAAAATCATTTTTTTAATTATTAAAATTATTTGATTCGTGCAAATTTAAAATCTTTGAATATAAAACACATAATACAATACAAATATAACAAGTAGAGGTTAGTGGGTGTAAAATGTAGGGTCTTATACTACACCTCCATGTGAGAAGAGCATGTGGGTGGGTCTACATCTGTCGCTGCCTCTCCATGTGATTCTGTCAGGACCTACAAATGAAGGAGAGGGTCAAAAAATTAATGACAGGGATGGCAGCCGGTTCGGGCAATCTTAATTGGTTTAATATATAAATTAATCCTTAAATTTGATGATTTTTGTTAGGGTAAACTATGTATTAGTCATCCACTTATTCTTTTAATTTTCTTTTGATCACCCAACTATTTTTTTAAATCATACCTGACTATACGTCTTGATCACCCACCTTTGAAAAGTTAATCGTGATATTGATGTATCATCATAAGATAATGTCGCATCATTATTGAAGAAAAATTGGCATGTCAACAATTTTTTTTAACAATGGGTGACCAAAACGAAATGGCGATAATAGATAGGTGACTTAATACATAAAAATTAGCTGACCTTATTCCCATATGTAATGGGATAAGGGGGATGTAGGGTAGTAGGCTACCCCTAACGCCAGGTTGAGAGCAGCTTCTGTGGAAGACCTCCTTATGATAAGATTAAGAGTTTTGTGCTCTACCAACTGAGCTAGATGGGCAATTCTGGTGACTTTTCTGAAGGTCTGAAATTTTTTTAAAAGGTAATCAGTTCAACTCCTAAGACCTTCAAAACATAACAATTTTTTAACTATTAAATTAACGGTGCATTGACAGAAGGATCAAAATAGAATGATAGTAATAGTTTGAGGATTGGTATAAAATATTTTAAGCTTCTCATTTAGAACATGGGTAATAATTTGAGGACTAATACAAAATAATTAAAGTTTAAAGAGTAATTTAAAATATGAATAATGGTTTTGGAGACATTTTATGCAATTATCTCATAAAATAATTGGAATTTATAGTTTGAAGTAGACATGTTTTCTTTTCATGTATTGAAAGTCAACTTGCATAAATGGAGTTAGGCTAACCAACCATTATTTTAGTTTTAGGAAATAGGAAAGAACAACATGGCCTTTTTGGACATTCTTGATTTGTCTTTGAATGTTTGCCAACTCAAAGTAATTTAAAAAGAAATAAATATTTATTTAATAATATAATTTAACCATACATGGATACCATAATGCCCCTACATGTTGTTTTATCTTTTTTTTCCTTTTCAAATCAAAAACATTAATTGGAAGATATTTTTTACGTGAATTAACTTAAGTAAATAATAAAAATAGTAATAACAATGTTATAATGATTTTTTTATAATTTAATAAATATTTTATAAATTTCAAAAGTTTAATAATCAAAATAGTTATTTAAACATAATTCAATAATCTTTAATATATTTTATCTTAATTTTTTATTTAAATGTAATTCAAACCTATCAAATATATGTGTAAACACCTGTTTTTGTCCGGGTTTTGACTTTTTGTTTTTTTTGTTTTTATTATTATATTAAGTATTTAATTATATTATTTTCTTTTTATTACTATTATTATTATTATTTTATTTAATTTTTATTTTGTAGGCCCAAACCCTTTTACAAAATGACCCAACAGACCAATTATAATGCCAAACCCTAGCCCGAAACAACCATTACAAGGACCAAGTAGCCAAACAAGACAAATCAAAAGGCCCAAGGACGATAATCCAATTTAGCTAGGGTTTTGATCTTTTCTCCCCCACCGCCTTGCTCCCATCCATTAGATCTGTGCTTGATCCAACGACCCATATGAGAAGGGAACTAGGATTTTTGGAACCTTAGATTTGTTGCACCGCCTCTTCCGAAGCCGAGCCATGACATTGCCATCGTTCACTGCCCAAGCCGAGTCAATCCCATCAGTCACTGCTACTGTTGACTAAAAAACCCACCGCTACTGTCAGTCAAACCTAATGTCGTCGTCGTCCTTGTTTCTAGGGCTGTAAATGAGACGAGACAGATCGTGAGTTACTCGTGATCGACTCGATCAAGGCTCGATAAATACTCAGATCGAATGGACTCGACTCGAGTTCTTAACGAGCCTAAACGAGCTACTTGATATTCGACTCGAAAAGCTCGTGAGCAGCTCGAAAAAATGTTATATTATAATTTTAGAATTTTTAAAATTATATTATAAAAAATTTATTAAAAACACATTATTGATAATTATAAAATTTAAAAAATATATTAAAAATTCTATAATACAACTACCCGCAAATTTTAATTTTTTTAATTAAGCAACTAAAGTCCAATTGTTACATTGTATATTACTAAAAGAAAAATAAAAAGCACATTTTATTAAGCACATGTTAGATTACACCCTAAACCTTAAACTATAAACCCTTAATATTAAATCACAAACCCTAAACCTAAACCCTAAACTCTTAATCCAATTATATGATAGGGGTTAAATTATGCACATGAAGGTAACATACAAATTATACAAAATGAAATTAACAAGGGTTATATATAAATAAATTAATAAATCACACTTGGTCAAATCAATCAATAGGTCCATTATCAAAACAAAGGGTGATCAAACATAAAATAAAAATAAATTAACTCCCGAATCATAAAAACGTAAACCTTGAATACGATTTCTCTACTTTTGAATACGATTTCTTTTTATGGAGCTAGAAGAAGCAAGAAATCGAGGTTTAATTCGCTGCAGAATTTATTGCTGCAGCAGCGGATGTTAATCAAGCTTTGCGGTTGAGAAAATTATTAAGTGAACTTAACTTAGATCAGAACGAGAACACAAAAGTTTTGCTGATAGTTAAGATGTCATTGCAATTTCTCACAATCCAATTGTTTTTTCTATCGTCTATTGTATTTGTTCAAGTTTTTGCATGGAAAGCAGATGATAAAACCATTGAAATCAATTATGCATGATAGTAAACGTGCCACGTGAATCAAGAATCATACAAATGCATTTAGTATGATACAAATCATATTATTATTACATTATTTCCTACCTTAATTCGAATGATACAGCACCATGAAAACATAGGAAATGAACATATACATACATGAATTCAAAACATGATACAGCAGATGAACAAGCTTTGCTTTGACATCGGTCGGCGTTTGCAGTCCAAAGTTAGCCTCCCTGTCTTCTTCAATCCTCTCGAAAACTCTCACACTGCTCTTGAGCGAAGGCATTATCCCCAGCTTCCTCCACCAGAAAAACCCTTTCTTCTTATCCATTAATTTCTCCATTTGCATCGCCACGCACTGGCTCTGCTCCCTCACCACCTCTTCTTTCAGCTTTTTTATCTCCATCTGTTGAGCGTTGATCTCTCGTTTCGCGGGCACCGAGCCGGGGGTTCGACTCCGACTGTGTTCGGACTCCTCATTCTGCTGAAGGATCCGCTCCAATCGACGTGCCGGTTGAGCTTGGTTTGCTCGGAGAACAGTACTTGAATCACTGCTCGAACGGGCAAACGTTCGTTTTGAGCAGCGTGCATGGATGCTTCTGGTGAGAGTTTTTAACAGTCTATCAATCTACAGAGAACTTTCCTTTCTTGCTTCGACACACCTGGATGTGCCTGCAATAGTGTAATCTCTGCTTCATAGAGCTATTTCGTATTTTACATGAAAAAAATTGTAAAAGGAATCAAAAGTAGTGACTGAGTTCTTTAAGGAAACACAACCCCTTAATGTTTTATTCGGATTCATGTTCCTAGCACAACTCCTACTTGGGAGTAGAATAAGATAAATGATACAAAATAAGAGGGAAAATAACTCACTTGTTCATGGCCCCTTATCTTTATAAAACCCCTCAACAATTCCCGTTTATAGTGGATATCACCAGTTTCAACTGCCCAAATCCCACATCGGTAGGTGAATAGCTCTAGAATCCTTGAGTCTATTATAAAAGGAGAGGGGATACACAGTTTAAAGCATATTTACGCTTTGGGCAAATCTAGCTCAAAATTGAGCTTGAATCGAGTTGAGTCTTGAGCTTCAATTGAGCTTTTGAAATTTTTTTTGAGTTTGAGTATTTTCGAGTTTGAGTTGAGTTTTAAGATTATATTTTAAGTTCGAGTCGAGTTTGATAATTTTTAGTTTGCGAGTTTTCGAGTTGAGTTGAGCTTACTTTTAAAGTTTTCGAGTTCAAGTCGAGTTTAGCAATACTCGAGCTCGACTTCGTTTACTCCCCTACTTGTTTCATAGCAAGAAATAAAATCAATGAAAGCATAAAATCCATTAAAAATAAAAATAAATCCAAAAGAAATCACGGAATGCAAATCATCGAAAATAGGATAATCATACCTAATAAGCATACCTATCTTCTCAGTAGCAGCAAAGGTACTTCACCAAACCATCACATCAAGATAAAAGGGAAGAGGTTTTCGAACAACAGAGGAAGAGAGAGAAGATCCAACGAAGCCATTCAAAAAGGAAGAAGAAAAAGAGAGAGAGATTCGAAAGAGAGATTTAAAGAACAGAAGAAAAAAATGAAAGAAAAAAACTAAAGAAAAAAGAGAATGAGAGACTTATCGGGGAGATCCACGCCGTTCATCAGATGAGGGAATCACGAAGGTAGTCTATTTTTTCTAGTCACCGGCGCCGACGAAGGGCGACAAGTGACCCTTCTTTTGTTTATCTTGGTTGAGAGAACATATCGAAGGGTTTTTCGTATATATCACCATTCTAGTTTTGGAGGCAATCGGATACCGGATCTGTGCTCGGGGCATTGAGAGCAGTCGAAAGTTGGTACCATCTCATTTCACAAACGCCAACGAAAGGCAATGGGTGGTGCAGCCACAACAGCCGGTGAGGACTCTCTTGTTTTCTGTAATTGAGAAGAGAGAAGGGAAAGAGTTTCTAGAGAGAAAGAGGAAAGAAAAAAAAATAGTGAAATGAAATGGAAAAAAGGAAAAAGGGTTTATGTGCTCTCGACTAAACGATGTCGTTTAGGGGATATGATTTCCAGAATTCAGCGTGTGGGTTAATAGCTTCTGTGGCCATCCGAGTTTTGTAAACATTTCATTTTGGTCACTTAATGAAAGTTTACAGTTCATGTTTCTGGCCCTTAATTTTGACTGATTTACGTCCTAATCATTGGTTGCTTGCTAGTATGTTTGGGTTAAATATCTGATGTGATTCGTTAAATTTAGATTTATCACATTTTAGTCCTTCTGGTGTTGTTATAAGAGAATGCTTTATTTATGTTTTATATCCCTCTAAGGTTGTTGTATGCTTGTCTTGTCACCATCTTAGTTTATTATAAGTGAATATATGGGATAAATATTGTAGCCTCCTGTATTTTTAGTTGTTCCAATTTAGTCCCTGTATTGTTATATATATGTGTATATTTTATTTCAATATACGAATATATGATATATATATGTGGACCATGTGTTTTTATTTAAAGATGCCATTTTTATTTTTTATTATACATGTTGATATTTTGTAAATATTTAATGTTATTTATAAAAGCTTAATTATTCGACTAACCTATGAAAGACCTCCAAACATTGGGTACCCTTCCGAGTTATTAGAATAAATAATTTTAAATTATTATTGTTGTTTATTTAAATTTATGATATATTAAATCAGTTTACATATTTTATTCACTTTAAACAAATCTAAGTTTGTCATTTTCATATTTTTGTTTAATGAAATATTTTAATAAATAAATGTTCATTATTTTTATTTTATTTTATTTATTTGTCATGATGTGTGGATATTTTCATCTATTCTAGTGTCATTTATTACTGTTACATTATAAATCATGTATTTATTTTCTTTGCAAAGGTAATATTGTCTCGCGTTGTGGGTTAAAGAAATTACGTCCAATATAACTGTATTTCAATTTGTGCTAATTCACGTAGAAATGGAACATCTTTTTAAATAAAATCGAGTGAATTAAATCAATTTATCGAGTCAATTATTTTTAAAAGATATTCACTTATTTTTCAAATTCGTTAGAATAAAAGGATCATAATCTAAAATTTAAATTCAAATTAGTAAAATTTTGCCATTTTATACAACATATAATCGAAGGTATTAATTTTGGGCGATGTGGGGGTATTTACTCTTTTCCACGCGTAATCAGTTCTCGGACCTTTTAAAATGAATATTTGGTAAAAACAGACCAACTTTTGTCTTTGAAATATTTTTCCTTTAAAATTATTTTAAAGGACATTTTTAGATATTCGACCTACTTGACTCAAAGGTCGATGGTAACTCTAAATTTCAAATTAACTAAATTCCTATTTTTCAATAAAGTCATAATTATTTTTTAAATTAATTTTCATTTTAAAAACGTTATGATAATATGTATATATTACCAATATAAATATATATTTCTTGTTGTGAATTATTGATTAGATGATTAATTTTTTATAAAAAAATAATAATAATAAAAATCAACATAAGATTATTAAATAAATTAAAAATAATAACTCCTCCAAAATATCTAAAATATCATTTGTTACATTAAATTATAAAATGATACAAAATATTTGTTTAAATCTACATTAATTATATTTATCGAATTAGGTATTGTAAAGTTTCTTTATGTGATTAATGCTTCTAACATGATTTTTTTATTCAAAATATCAATATTTTGAATGCCCTAAATTTTTTAATATTTTAATTTCATCCTTAAACTATAACTTCATTCTAAATTGATCATGAAACTTTTGAATATTATAATGTCATCCCCAAATGATGTAACATAAACCCTAATTAATGTTGAGTTTAAATAAAACAATGATTTAACTTTCAATTTATTTCTAATTAATGTTGAGTTTAAATAAAACAATGATTTATTTTCTATGAACTTTTGCATAAATATTTTGACTTTAATATTAAGAATTTAACTTGTTAAAAGAAAATATCTCAAGGACAATTTGGTAAAACATATATTTTTCTTATCTTATATTCTATCAATCAAACATTATAATCTTACATTCCTGTCGAGCAAACCAAACAAGGTAATACAACATTCCCAGTAATATGTTAAGTAATGTAACATTCCGGTAATCTTATTACTAATGATAATCTTACATTTTGTGAACCAAACGACCCCTTATTATTTGTCTCATCACATTTTACGTAATAAACATTAATACTTATATGATAAATAATAATTTTATTAACAATGAACATGGTTAGCATATATCGGTAGTTTAAGTGTGAAATTAGGTCGTCTAAAATTTTGAGGACTAGAGTTTCATAGTTTAAGGATGAAATTGAAATATTCAAAAGTTTAGAGACTAATTTGGAAAGAAAGTAATAGTTTAGAGATGAAATTGAAATATTTAAAATTTTTAGTATCAATATATAATAAGAGTTATAAATTGAGGTCGCATTATACGTATAACTGTTTACGAAAAGAAAAAAGAATATAAAAATAGTAAAATTAGTTATCTTCCGTCAATAAAAAATAAATGTATTTTCTATTGTTATGTTTAAATAAAAAATACAATAAATATGACAAATAATTAAAAAATGAGATAGAAATGAAATTAATGGTTAAGTTGACTAATAATTTAAGTACAGTAATAAATTGGATTTGATGAGCTGTCTATAGGGCCCAATTTGTGAGTTATTAATTAATGGTTAAGTTGACTAATAAATGTATCTTCCGATTGATTTATGATTGTTCAAGAAAGAAATAGGAAATCATTAACTACATTTAAAACATTGTTCAAAGGCACGTGCAACATGGAACCTACTATTTTTTTTTTAATTAATATAGGTCGATTATAACTGATAGTATCTGTTTTAGATATTCTAAATTTTCTAACAACGATTACTCAAATATTCTACAGTCGTTAGTGCTCAAATAAGAGAAAGTGAGCATTAAGGCTGGTCATGAGTCAAGTCGTATTTTTGATTAATTCATATATTATCTGAAAAGTAAACTTTTTCACCCATATTCGTATCGACATAGATTTAGAAAAATTCTACTGAATAAGTTAAAATCTGCACTCAACCCTATCTAACATGACTTATATATTATAAGTATCTAATTGAAAAAATATTGAGAGAATTATATTTTTATAATTATCTCTAAATATATTAAAGATAATTATAATATTATCACGGATCGAGTTTTTTCACCATAAACTCAAACCCATCTAATCCTTATAAAAACTTGACTTCACTCATCTTGAACCCAAATCTTGAAAAGAGCAAACTTTGATCCGATAGGAACCCGATAAATTTGAGTCAAATGCCCAGCCCATTGAAAATAGATAGTGATTATATCAGGGGCTCAATTTGATTGTGAGTCTTAAAATTCAGTGATAAAAAGTTTTAAGAGCTGCATTTATTTTATAAATTGGAGATGTAACCTTGCATTAGCTCAGCAGCAAGGGATTCTTCATCTTGCTTCTCTTTGGCCGCATCGAGAGCGGCGGCGTAAGCTCGCCTCGCTTCTTCGATCTTTGGTATCTTCCTATCATCTTCGTCGTCCTATTTACACCGAAATCGAAACCGATACAATACTTTTAAGAAAAATAAAAAATACGAAGGAAAATTTCAATAAATTGATTAAGAAAAGGATAGTGAACTTACTATGTAAATGAGATGCTCCAAATGATACGACGCGACATCATAGTCTTCGACACGTACGATACGAGTATTCTTCGTCAAGCCATTTAACAACGGCACGAATGATGAAAATTCTCCTCGCATGGAGTCCAAGGCAGCCTGTTTGTCTGCTAGTTTCATCTATGGACAACAAGGAAGTAACATGAATTTAGAGTTTAATTCAATCGATTTATTCAATTACGTTATGATATGCACATAATGTGTACATATATATATATATATATTCTAGCAGGAAGACATGAAAAGTGTACCTTGGCATCATAGAGCCGCAGCTGAATTGAGTTGATCAAAGAGTCCTTTTCTGCCGCAACTCGGTTCAGTTGATCAAGTTCAGCTTGAACATCATTAATCTGCTCCCTCATCAGCTCCTCCTTCTCCGATAATCTTTTCCGAAGATCCTCCACTTGTCGTCTCAGTACAATCAACTCCTAGTTTTCTTTTTCGGGTATCGAAGAAAAGATCGATAAACCGTCACAATTCTCGTCTACTCGATCCTTTTCCCGCTTCACCGGAATAGATAAAGATGTGTTCCTTCCTTCTACATTGCTAACCTTTATGAACAAAAACAACAACATGGCGTATTTATATAAAGAGATTAAATTAATAGAATATGAGAGCAAATTTGATAGCAAAGGGGTTAGATAATGAAGAATTGTAATGGAAATCTATTGAACATTGGATGTTTTATATCTCTGCTGTCCACACAAATGTCTGATGAAGAGTCAATTATGCATACTATAATAAGAGCACCACTTCAATTCAACAAATACCAACAATTGATAACCAAAAAAAGGGGAAATTGTTTAAAGTCATGTGAAAACACCGATGATTACTGAACAATATATAAAGTTCAGTGAGAAAATTGAACGGATTTAAAGTATAATGAATGAAATAAGAAATAAAGAAAAATACAATGATGATTCGTGTAATTTACCCATATTATAATTACATACGGGTATGGATCTTGTTGAATGGAGTGCGATTATAAATCTCTAATTAGGGCATCTCCAACGTTACTTCAGTGTGGAGAATATCTCCACTTTGGAGATAATATTTTTCTTCGGCCTATCGTCAATGTGCTCTTCATTGTAGCGATCTGCTACAATGCGTGTCACATCTGACGTGACACTGTAATTGTGTTACAATTTCTTTTTTTTGTTGTTGTAATTTTTTGGGATTTTTTTTTAAAAGTTCAAGTAGATTAAATTGTAAGCTAGATAAAAAATATATTGAAATTAGATAAATAAATATACTAATTTTTTTTTGTAATTTTTCTGATTTTTTTTAAAATTCAAATAGATTAAATTGCAAGATCAAATATGCAACTACTCATTTTGCTCTACGAAATGCACTAATTGAGCATTTGTGGAATGAATATTCTAATTTTGAGAATTAAAATATATAATTATGTAACTTATGTTTTTTTGCATTTTTATTATGAATTGTAATTTTCTTATTTATTTGTATTTTCGCAATTTATGAATATTTTATTTATACTTTTTATCTTGATATTTATTAGAAATGTATATGTTTTATTTTATATTTGCAAAATCAATATTATAATTGTTAAATATTGTGAATAAAGTATAGTTGATGGTAATGTAGATATATTGCTGGAGATGAATTATTGTTTCATATTTAAAGTAGAGATAGAGATGTTGTAGAGTAGAGATGAGGATTGGAGATGGACTTGCACTTTTTTAAGAAGTAAAATTAAAAATAGATATAATTACAAACATAAGACATCAAAATAAAAAAGAAAAAATAAATTATGAGTATTAAAGATGGTTATGAGTCGGATTGAGTTAAATTTTTAACCGATCAGAATCTGACCCAAATATTATACCCTTTCACCTATCACTTATCTTATTTAGATTGAGTCAAACTTCAGCCGACCCGAAACCTAACTTGATTTTTGGGATAAAACTAACACCATACCCGATCTTATTTTTGTATTAAAAAACTCACACCTTATCCATTTTGACATAAATATATAAAACAATACTTTTTATTTGCTAAAATGGAGACATAATTATAGTTAGATATAGAGCAAGATGATTATTTTTAATTATCCCTAAATATATAAAAGATAATTATATTATTTTTTCGAATCTAATATTTTTCACCACTCCAACTAGACTTTCCCTTAAAACCTCTGACTTAAACTGTATTTTCAAAAACAAAAAGAATTTTGTTTTTGGGAATGGAAAGAGCTGGCTTAAGAAGAAGCTAGACTAACATGAACTATTTTTACAATATGGGGGACCAGCAGTGTCCCTATGGAGAAGATCTTGTACGCATCTTGGGGGGAGAAACATGGTGGAGCATTTCAAAATCATCTTGAGGAGCATGCTTCGCCAAAGTATCCGCAACCTGATTTGCCTCTCGAGGTATCCAAAGAAAGTTGACAAATCGATGCTCGATGTTCGAGCCCGGAAATAGAACGAACAAGCGATAAATGACTGTGGTGAGCTTGAGTATCTGTGAGCAGCTCGATGGCCCTCAAACAGTACGATTGCACCTAAATAAAATCAAAGCCGAAATCTGCAGCTATACGCAATCCTTCATAGATGGCCCAAAGCTCGGTTTGGAGAATGTAGATGGAGCCAATATTGCGGGCAAAACCATGCATCCAACAGCCCGAACTATCTCTGAAAACCCCTCCAATTGTGGATTTTCCTGTCTTGCAGCAAACAGCCCCATCTATGTTGAGGGCGGACCATCGTTGAAGTGGAAGGCTCCATTGAATCACGGTCGGCACGATATTCAAAGGAGGCAGCTGAGGGGATCGGATGGCAGACGTTACATAGTGCTTCGACCAAGTAATACTTTGCTGAATAATATAGTGGGAAGTATGGTTGTTGCTATCCTGAAAGATGGATGAGTTACGAGACTTCCAAACGCTCCAAACAAGTGCAGCGAAGAAGGTATTCCAAGAAGTGTTAGCTGCGTCTCTATTTCTGTATTTATGTTGAAGATTTATTTTTATATTTTAAATTTATTTATATTTTATATAATAACCTAATATATAACTATGCTTCTAAAATATATTTATCGTTATTTTTAGATTCTTGACATTTTTTAATTAAAATTTACCATTTAGTCAATTTATTTAAGACATAAAAGTAAATAAAGACATATTTAAGTTAAGTTACAAAAGATATTAAAAATTTAAAGATATAAAATTAAATTATTAATAAAAATTTAAAATTTTTAAGAAATCGATCATAGTCAGAAAATAGGCTTAGATTAGATTTGAGATATTAGTAATAAAAGAAGATATTTATATTTTTCTCGGGGGAAAATCAAACTCATATATATTTTTTAATTAGTGTAGTTAATAAATAATTTAAATGGAAATTAAAGGTAAGATACAATTTACGGGAGATAGAGTGACGGATCATATTTATTATCCCACTGACTTCCGTTCCAGTACGTCTGATCAACAGTTTCGTTGCAAAGATCACCCAACTCTGTCCGTTGAAACCCATTCCCTTCCCAATCAAACGGTCCAAATCCTCCACAACCTGCACCCTCCGATCTATGATGCAATTCTGATAACTCAATCTGCACCGTCTGATCAAGCAATAATCCCCTGGTGACATCATTCCACTGTGCTTGCTCATTTAACGCAGCCGAACCAGAACCAAACGGCACCGTTTCATCGTTCGACGATGCGGCCACGCTGGTAAAGCTCCCAATCTCCGTCAACCCTAAATTATTACGGTTCCGGTAAAACTTCGAATCGTTTACATTTATCAAGCTAGAATGATATGTTACTCCCGACGCCGCTTCGGCTGTGCTGCCCGCGGAGCTACTGTTGTTGCTGTCCGTCACCGGAACGTTAAAATTGGCTGCAGTAAGACTCAAACTCTCGCTGCTAGAATTAGAATTCTCTTTGAATTGATGTTCACGGTGTTGTTGCTGTAGCTGTGGATCTGCAGAGACGGCGGAGGCTGCGGTGATTTCGGTCGCAGGTTTGGTTTTGGAGCGCTTGGCCTTGCGGCAGCCACCGCCAACGGGGACGTTTCGAAGTACGCCACCTCTTGTCCAGTAACGACGGCAGCTCTTGCAGAAATGACGTGGTTGAGAGAGGTTGTAGTTGTTGTAGTAACAGAATTTTGTGTTGAGAGAATCGCAGCGGGGGCAGTTGAGGGGAAGGTGGTGGTTCTGCTGCCGTAACCTCTTGTCTCCTCCACCTCCGCCGCCGCTGCCTACGATCGACTGTATGTCTTGCATTGCTATTCGCTAACGACTCTCGCTCCCCGTGAGCAGCAGTGATTTGTTTATTTTAATATCAAGAAAAAATATATATAGTGTTCTGTAGAAATACCAGCTTACCCCTATTTCAAAACGAGGCGTGTGTGCGTTAGGGGAGAAAATGAGTGGGGGACGTGTGAGGGGAATAAAGAGATCGTGACCGTTGCTTGAGAACAAGTGGACAGTCAAGATCTTCCCAAAATCAAGTTGTCGGCCACACTCTTTTTAAAATACGTGATATTGAAGTTGCCACGTTACGTATTATAATTGGTGAATCATGTGAATGATAGAATTAAAAATGTAGGTTAAGGTATATAAATAATAGGATAAACCACTCAACTATAGTAAAAAATTATTTTTATTATTTATGTTTTAATTTAATTAAATAAACCATTTAATTATTTAAATAATTTAATTAAATTATTTGCCGTTAACAGTTAATGAAACATATGACGTGGTAGTTAAAAATATTTTAACATAATTACACAAGTGATCCATAATATTTATATATTCTTTCAATTTGATCTTTATTTTAATAAATTAAAATAATGACAAATGTCATCACTCAATTGGATAACTAAATTTATTTTAGTTTAATTCAAATTTAAAGATTTACTTTTCTCAAAAAAAAAATAAACCAACACATATAAGGGGAAGGTGGGGAACCCTTGGGTGAAATGAAAATAACCAAATCATTGGCATCAATTTAGTTACCTTTATATAACAAATAATATATATCTTGTAGCTCAGTAATTTTTTTATACAACAAATAATATAATTTATAAATAAAAATTTGTTATATTAAAAAAATACGAATATATAAAATATATTAAAATAATAAAAATATAATACAAATATATATATTTTAAAATATATTAACTTAAAAATATAAAGTATATAAAATATATTTTTAATACGAATATAATACGAGTATATTTTTTTAAAAATATTTTTTATTATTTTTATATATTTGTATTTTTTTTGTTAATGTAAAAAATATTCTTAATTTTTATTTATTAATTATATGATTTTTTTACCCGAGATATATGTTGTTTGTTGTATAAAGATAACTAAATTGATATGTTGGCACAATGGTTTGATTCTTTCCATTTCACTCATGGGGTCTTGGGTTTTGATCCCACCTCCCTATGGTTTATTTTCTATAAGTAATATGGACCGATTATGTAATTATATCAAAATATTTTTAAATGTTACGTCACAAGTTCCGTTAATTGTTAACGGTATGTGATTTGATTGAAATATTTAAATAGTTTGATAGTTTGTTTGATTAAATTGAAATATTGGTGGTCAAAATAATTTTTGACTATAGTTAAGTGATCACCCTTGTAGTTTACCTAAATAATATCCGATTATAAAATGTTGTCGTGGTAAGTCTTATGAGCTATTAGAGTTATAAAATAATTATTAAATTATTCATATGTTTAAAACTCTTTTTTTTAAATATCGATTGTTATCCTAATCAAATATGACGCAATGTTATTGAAACTATGATTAGTTAGCATGTAACATAACACATATGAGTTTAAAACTAATAAACACTCGATTTTTATTGTGGAGGACTTTTTTTTTCAATTATACCTTTAAATTATGTAAAAAAAATACTACTTCATACGTCCTATTTATATTGTATATTATTGATTTTTCACGGAATTTTAAAAAGAAAAAGTTTATATAAAAAATGTGTTGTAAAAAATAAAAATAAAAATTTTATCTTAGAAAAGTTAAAATTTATTTCATTGAGAAACTAAAAAAAAGAGTATAAAAGAAAATAGGTCTAATAAAAATTATTGATTTTTTAAATGGATAATTTAAATGAAATAATTTTTAAAACACAAGAGGTGACAATTTTTTTTTGAATTAATCACTGATATCCAATCTATTGAATGACTAATCCAGATTGAGTATTGTAGAGGCGAGGGCGACCCTCCCAACCCAGTTTGCTCCATTCGCAAACGCCATGATTCGAACTCCTAACCTTACTTAAGAGACCTAATGCGTCATCCTACTAGATCAACTAGTTGTTGGTCAAGAGGTGACAACTTTAATTGGACAAAGAGTATATAAAACATAATTATTTCACTCTATTTCATATAGAAATATATATAAAATTTAACTAATTATTTTCATTGACGTTGCATTTAATTGTAATTAAGAACACTATGACAATACAACGTGAATTAGGTCTCGAGGCATTATTAGTCATTCAATGACTCTTGTTCTTGTATACGGCTTGACGTGGTGCAATCATTGCCTTGTAAAGTGACATTGTGTTGTAACTTTCCACTTAAAATTCAATTCAATAAAATTAACTTTAAATAACGTTTCGCTTTCACATTTATATAAAAAAATGAATAATTATCTTGAAAATGACATGAAAGAAAGAAAAAATTAAAATAAATGATTTTTATTAGTTGAAACCATAAAAAAATGCACAAATTTCATATAATTATTTTTCGTGTTTACGAGTATAGTGTCTCGTTCCACGCTATCCTTTTCCATATTTATTCACATCAATATCTATGTTTTATTTTTAAATTTAATTAAAAATATGAAAAGATTCGATTGTATTAAAACGTGGCAAAATGCCATGAATTATTGTTGGATTTTTAGGTTTTTCGATTATGTTTTTCGGTGCTTTCAACGGCTACAACCGTTCGTACGTTACACGACCATCATCTTGTTTTCCTCGTCGTGCTCCAATCAAAACCTAACCAATGTTGACTGTTCGTCGTTGGAGATGAGGCAACGGGAGGGAGAGGGACGATTAGGGAGAAAAGGTGATTTTTTTAAATTATTTTTTTAGAAAATAATATTTTTATTATTAAAATTTTAAAAATAAAAATATAATGGTAGACACCTTGTAACAACCCGAAAATTTTAAAATAATATATTTAATTGGGAATTGAGGTTTTAATTAAGTTAATTGGTGAAATTTGAGGATTTAATTGGAAGTTTTTAAAACTTGTAGCATGTTTTAAAAAGTGGAGGAAATTCAGTGACCAATCACTGAATAATGCCAAGGAGTGTCGGCAGATTGTTCTTCTTCTTATATGCGTGCAAATTGATTCTGGTTTCATACCAGAACAATTTGCTAAGTTTTTACCCCACGCACCTCAACTTCCGACGACGATTCTGACACCGTCCGAATTCCGATCGTCGTTTTGAAAGTACCATCGTGTTCGTTATCGAGTCAGGAACAATCCCCTCAATTTAATTGAAGCGAAACGCTGCCAAACGTCGTGAATTTCAAGTCAAAGCATCGACGTTTTTTTTAAGCTCAATCGCCTAGAAAATCCTAAATTCATCGTCGATCGTTGCTCCTTTTACGACACCTCCCGCACCATCGTGTTCCTTGTGCCGTTCCAAGTCCGCCGGTGTCATCCTCGATCTCCGTTGACGGCGGCGCGTGGGGAGGTGGATCAGTCAAAGATTCGGCCGAGTCGAAATCGAGCTCTCCGCCGTTCAAAAATTTGAACCGATCTTTGTAAGTATCTCGAAATCGCTCAAAATAATTTTTAGAAATTTTTCCGTGATTTTTAGAGCCCCGGAGGACGTCGCACGCGCCCACACGCGCCGCCGCAGGCGAGTGAACGCTGGAAACCGGTTTTGACCGGTTTAACCGGTTTTGAACCGGTTTTGACCGGTTTGACCGGTCACGACCCGTTTACCCGTTTACCCGACCCGTTGACCCGACCCGACCCGTTGACCGTTGACCGTTGACCGGTGCTATTCTGGGAATTAATTCGGTTTTGGTGCTATTCTGGGAATTAATTCGAAATGGGTGCTATTTTGGTAATTTTTTTTAAAAGGGTGCTATTTGTGTAAAATGTTTGACAGTTTGTTGACCTCCTTTGACCAGAACTTTGACCGGCTTTGACCAGCTATTAGACGACCTTTGTTTTTGACCAAGAATACCTATCCTGATAGTTTTCGACGTTCCGAATCCGTTTTTGGGGTCCGTTTTGCTAAATTCAAACCCGAAAGTCTCCAAATCGTCAGTCAACCCCGTTGACTTTAATTTTGACCAAGAATTCGAAATTTCGGAAGGTCATACTTTATATTTTTCGACGTCCTGAATTTGATTCCGAAGTCCGTTTTGCCAAATTCTGACCCGAAATTCCCGAATCGAGCTTGTAAACCCAAAAGGCTTAATATTTTAATATTTTGATTATTTAAACGAGATTTATTCAATAAAATATTTTATGAAGGTACTCGTGTTTCACCTGAACAAGGATCAATTAGGTCCGGTATTATCCGTTCGTTAGATCAGCCTGAACCGCGTACTACGAGAATTACCCGTAGGTTTCTGTATATTATTTAAATAATATTTAGATTATTTATATTAGGATTCCAATATGGATTTTTCCAATTCGTAGGATCTAGCGCTGCAGCAGAACGTGATCGACAGACCCAGCAATAGGCTTCCCTATCTGATTTCTCAGACTGTTACAGGTGTGTTTCCCGACAGTGTTAATTATTTCTGTTTTAAAATATACATCTGAACATTATGTATATGACATCTGATTTGCCACATATTTCTGAAATGAATTCTGGTTACGGTATTTTATACCGATCTTCTGAATATTGAATATTCGATATCTGAAATTCTGTATACTACTGACTTGTCTTCTGATTTCCGTATTTCTGTATATTATTGTTAAGCATGAACACTTTTATGTTTTAAAGATTTAATCATTGTTTTCATTCAAATACATTCGTGAACATCTCCATCATTGGGGGGTATCGTTGAAGGAAGTATATCCGTAGGTTCCTCGGCTTTGTGCTCAGGGCCTTATTTGTTGTGTGGGCTGGGTGTATGGTTCTGGGGAACCTACACATTCTGTTGTGATGGGCTGGGGGTAGTGTTCATATTTTTTTTACGACATGATTGCATAAACCGACTTTACTGGAATATTTTTATCAGTATGTTTTTATATACACTGTATGGAACACACTGGGCTTTTTAGCTCATTCTGTAATTTTAACATTTT